CTCGTTCTCATTAGCCCCCCAGACGCAATTTGAACATAAAGCAGATATCGAAATGTAAGGGGAGATAAAGCCACAATGTAAAATATTAGGACAAGTTTTACAATATTAGGACAAGTTTTGTGACAGATTGACAGCTACAGGTATAATGGGAATGTTGCGCTAGGGAACTCCCTGACGAGACTGTAAACAGTTGCAGTCACCTGTAATTAGAATTTTTGAATTATCAACGGTTGTTAGGTACTTCCAACCTATTCTCACATTGGGCTGAGTCATATGGCGCCAAAAAGCCCGGAACCAAAGTAGGCCTCTTGCAGCGTTGTTTCTCGGAAGAATAAAAGCAAACACGGTGTCATAACCGCCTTCGACTACGAGTCCTGCGGTTACCAAGTATGACAGTACTGAGTTTGACCAACAAACTTCTTAGTTTATTAGATGAAATAAATAAGCGTGTCATAGATCAGCCTACTATTGTCTAACCTGTACATTGCTATCATAAATAAAATTTGCAAGAACATGCTAAGTTTGTCTCCAACATGCTCGAACTGGGCCGAACATGCAATCAGCCAAATACTCTCTCATCTTCTTAGAATTATGATGCGCTGAACCAAATATCATAAGATTGACAAAACCATTATCAGAAATTGCAGAATAACCTTGTTCACAGTACAAATGGTGCTGAAATATCATTTAAAAAGCGGACACTTGCGACAATGAGACATAACCCTGAATAGTTCTCCAAACAATATCCTCCTTAAATAGTACAAAACATTTAAAGAACGGTTTCCTCATTTTTCCAAGGGAATAAAAAACTACCTAACTCTTATGTAGGAAATAGAAGCTTCAAAAATCTTGCCTACCAAAATCTGGAGGTAATCGATGTTTGCTACAAACATTAGATATGGATGATTGGACCGATCAATCGAACAAACTAAAGCCCATGTCCTGCAATAAATTAAATAAAAGGGTCAGCTTAGATGCAGAAAGCATATCAAGGCTGTGAAATAGAGCCCCATCCTGAAGTGTTTTAAGATAAACAAGCGCATGTGAAAGTGCTCCGTAGTTATAGTATGGAATTTGAAACAATAATTTCAGTGTGAAAGTCCTTACATCATCTGACTCTTCCTTCTCTTCAACTTTCTCCTCTTTCTTGCCCTCTGCTGCCGCAGGGGCCGCAGCAGCACCACCACCAATGGGGGCTGCTACTGCCGCAGCAGCAGCACCACCAGAAGGCACCGAGGCAAATTTTTCCCTTCCAGAAGCAATAAGTTCAGTTATGTCTTTCCCCTTGAGTTCAGACAGGAGAAACTCAATCCTGTCATCATCAGCTTCAGCCCCAACTGCAATTCCATTAAAAGAAAATTCATCAGTTTACATAGTCGCAGCATCTTCAATAGGACACTACATGTTCTCCATAACCCTACTACAAAAGTATTATCGTATCTCAACACATCTTCAAGCGAGCGTAGCCTTTTTCATAATGCTTGGAAAAAAAGATAGCGTAAATTGCTACCGTTAACACAGAAATGTAAAGCCCATTAAATAATCACCACAGATTTATTCATTTACTTCCATAAAACATACAACTATATAAGATAGATCTGAGTGGCTCCACTTCACAATACTTTCTTCGCTACATAGCAGATATATGTGGATAAAGGAATATGCAACAAAGGAACTGTTAAGAAAAATGCTGAAATTAATCTCTTAATAAAAGGAAACCATAACAGCTCCTAAAGGGAGGAAGCACGTAAAACCTGTGCCTAGGATATCCTTCAAATTGTCCGAAGATGGACTAGTGTTTCCACCGAGCACGGCAAGCAAATAGGCAGCGACAAGCTTCATTCTGAGAAACATGAGCACAATGAAATCAGGGGACATCTCAAAAATCAATTCCAACTAAAATAATTAATAGTTTTTTGCTGAGAGGATTTCCATGAACTATAGAGAACAATGAAGCCTAACATTCTACGAGTAGATATCAATGTGTAAAATTAATGACCAAGACTAAACAATGAAAATATTAGGTGCCTTATAAACAGAGCCCTGTAAACCATTGAGTTCCAAATTGTGAAAAATAAATGTAATACATTCAGCTTAAAAGCAGAGAGAAAAGGTGATCTAGTAGAACAAGGATAATGTTCAAATGAGAAAGGGAATAAATATCCATTGTGCAAAGTGCACTTTCCGGATTTTATTAGACATGCCCTTGAATGTCAAGGTTTGATTACTAAGAATTTCAGTTCAGCCGCTTGTTATTGCCTGAATTCCTAATGATAAATACCATACGTGCAGTAAACAGAAGTAATTTACTGATAATGGCAAAATTACATATATAATGTAGTAGAAGGATTAACTAGTGATAGAATAAATTATATAGGTCTAGGCAATCGATAGATTGAAGGCTTGAAATAAAATCCTTCAATGGTGAATGCATTGAACATTATTTAACTGACCCGCGTGTTGGCTCCACTACGTGTTCCTCTCAACAAACAAATGTTCGCTTGTTCATGCTATAGAATTACAGTTATACAGCATTACATGTTCGCTTGTCCGTGTCATGAAATTACAGTAATTACAGTTACGCAGCATTAGAAATCTTACAAGAGTGCATCAGAATCACTATACCAATGTATCTGTTATCTTTAGTAATTTACTTGATTATCGTGTAACATGACATCATATGAAGCACACATGCAGTTGGTGTTAAATACTACCATGGTGTCTCGTTTAGTGACAATACGTCAATAACACCAAGATGACAATACACGGAACTCAACTCATTTACAACACAACTATCTTATCAAAAAAAAAAAAAACACTCCATTAAACTGTAACTTTCACATCAGAAACCTAAAGATCACTGCAAATCGCAAACTATTTCGTCAAATAGCTAACATTTTGCATTGGATACGTGAATACTAAGCTCGAATAATAACTAACCACTGTGAATATATGAAATGGTTGGAAAAGGAAAAGAGCATGAATCAAAGGAAGTCTACGAAGCCATTACTTGTTCGGGAGATGAAACTGAGAGAAGAGCTAGGCCGCCAAAGGGACTCTCTTCGGAGCCTAGGGTTCGTGAGAAGGGGACACTGGAGGCGGGCCGCGGATTATTGTGGGGGTTGAATAAATCAGGGTGGGCTGGGAGCGGGCCGGATCGGGTTAAATTCGTTAAATATTCAATTCTTTATCCAGATATATATATATATAATAAAATTATAAAAAAGGGTAAATACACTTTACACCTATGTACATTGGCTTGTTTTTTTGGCGAATATATTTTCTAAATAAACTCATTTATATTTTTTTCCTAAAAATAGATCCCGTTGAGTTTTATTTACAAAAATAGACTCATTTTATCTTAATCTGGTTCTTAAATAGTTGGGGTTGCCAACCCCGACTATTTAGGAGGTTGTAAACCCCCAATTATAACCCTAAACCCGAACATTCTGAACACTAAGGGGGTGTTTGGCAATGTGAAAGTGAATTTAAAATATGTAAGTTACTTTTTTTTGCAAATGTCTTTTACATCCATGTCAGCACGCAAGTGAAATACAGTGTTTGTTTGAAAAATTAAATTATTATCGAAAGTGCAATGCGAAGATGATGTGGCAAAATAAGATTAATTAGAAAGTATAATTAAAATCATTTAATTAAATTAGTTATATTTTTATCACTTTCATGTGACTTCACCACTTTTTTAGGGGAAGTCAAAATTGTATTAAATCATATGTGGCAACTTTCTTGTATCTCACTTGCATAACTACTTACATGAAAACAAACACCTTAATTGTTAAATGAAAGTAACTTTCTCACTTTCATCTTTCACTTGCATGCAAACAAACACCCCCTAAATAGTCGGGTTACTCTAAATAGTCGGGGTTAGCAACCCCGACTATTTAGAAATCGGATTAAGACAAAATTGGTCGTTTTTTATAAAAAAAACTCAAGGGGTCTATTTTTAGAAAAAAAAATATGAATGAGTTTGTTTAGAAAATATCTTTTTTTCCAGCATTCATATACCCTGAAATTTCTAGATATTGCACTTGAGTATCATTTGTTGTGCGAATGTTATTATTTTTCCTTAGCTTTTTTCACATGAGACACTCACAAGCTAATTTTATGGTTTTTTTAATCCTAAAAACTTGTTGACTTTACAGTTAAACCCCCCATAATTTCATTTTATAACATATTTAGAGTAGGTTAAAAATAAAATCAAAGAAAGTTTAACAATTGGTTCAACAAGCATTCATCGTAATAAAAAAAGGTGAGGATATACAAGAGCAAAACTGAAACGAGATAAACTAGGAGAACAATTAGATGGTCGAATTGTTTTGGTTTTATTTGAATTTTTTTAAAGAAGGGAGAATAGCTCACACAATAAACAAACTAAACATAAGGAAAATCGTCGCAGACCATATTTGTGTGAAATGCTTTGATCAGTAAAATCTCATGTAGAATCTCCCTGCGAACTCTATGATCAACACCTTAGCGATCCTGTGCTCCGGGGGGATGTGCGTTGCATGATTTGCTTCTCTATACGCGTTGTTTTTTTTAACTATTACATATCTTTTTTAAATAAAATGACTAAGATGAGTTATTTGTTTGGAACAATTTTGTAACATAAAATAATGGACCTAAAGATGTCTTTGGGAAGTTTTTAAAGGTGGAAAAAATAGAAGCTGGTTGTTTTATTTGATTAAACATTAAAAATTTATCACTTATTAAAAAAATCATTATATAAATTTCATTCCTCCATTTAACAGAAGGCCTATTCTCATTTTTGTCACACTGAGGTTCATCTATTTTTTTTCCACTTTCATATTTTAAAAAACCTATATCACCTTGACGTGTTAAAGCTATAATCTCATTTTACTTTGTTGGCCCCTATTTAGACTTTAGTTTTCTCTTGCATTAATATGATGCCCTTATACCATCGCTACTGAGAAATTATTGTTGTTTATACTATTCCAGATATTCAAATTTCGTTTAAATGTAAAAATGGAATTTAACAGAAAATCAAACGAAACGAAGATGGGGTATGATAGTGAAATGAAAATGAAATTCTGGAGCATCAAATTGTCGAAAGAATACTTTGGATATCATAGCATAAAATTAAGTAATGTGGGGAACCAGAGTGAAAATAAGGCCCTGACAAATTATTTAAAAAAACCAAGGGCATTTTCGTCGGCGGAGTCATACAATGCGCGGGAAAAATGGTTCGAGCGCCAAAATAGATTTAGGGTTCCAGCCGACATTTTGAGAATCCGATCTAGGGTCCTTCAATCTCTCCTCCCAAACTTCCAATCACTAGATCAAAGCCCCCCCTCTCTCTCTTTAGCTATCTGATTGAAGCCCTAAGCAACGGATCGAGATTTCTCTGCAATGAACGGAGATCGAAGGCGAAGGGATCAGTTCAATTCCAGAAGAAATCAATCGAAGCAGAAGCTTCGGCTCAACGCTGAAGAAGTTCTCGAAGCAAAACTAGGTTACGATCTTTTCACTGAAGGCGAGAAGAAGCTCGGATGGCTGCTTACACTGGCTCCTGTAAGCAATCTGTGTTCCCATTTCATTTCCTCCCAATTTTTATGCTGCATTCTTTCAATTCGCTCAAATTAATTAAGCGCTGCTGAAGAAATTCGATAACTTCAATCAATTTTCTGTGGATTCGCAGTCGTCTTGGGAAGACCAGGAGACGAACAAGATTTATAGTTGCGTGGATCTATATTTTGTTTCGCAGGTGATAATTTCATACTTGATTTCTGTAATTAGGAGAAATACGAATTTGGGGCAAAAGAATCACTTTTTATTTCATGAACGCTGAGGAGAGGAGAAATAGACAGTTTGCTTGCATTCAATATGAAAACAGCATCTACGATGATGCATCTAGAGTTAAACTATAGGACGTAGATCACAGGCTTCTTGCCATAAAAGAAGAGTTTTCTGTCTGCTCAAAGTTTGTATGTCGTCTGTTGGCTTTTACTTATCTTTGTTTTGTATGTTTTGTTTAGGATGTGTCTACATTCAAAATTAAGTACAAGTTTCCGCCTTATTTTTATGCTGCTACCAAGGTGAGGTTGTGGAGCATGATCTTTACTTGATGGTTACTTGCAATTTGATGATGAATGCATGAGATATAATGCAGATTTACACCAGTTATGTTTTTTAACATAATGTTGCAGGACAAAACTCATCTTGAAGTTGAGGCATATCTTAGACGCAGATATGAAGGACAAATTGCGGACATAGAGATAGTAGATAAAGAGGATTTGGACCTAGTAAGTTATTGTTGCATGTTATTTAGTAAACGTTATATCACAAAATTGCACTGTTCTATTCGATTGTTACATTCATCCGGCCATCTGAAAAGATTTTGCTTTGCTGGCTTTTAGCATGGTATAATATAACGATTTTCCTCTGTGCCATTCTTAACATTCTCTCTTTACCCTGTAGAGGAATCATCTTTCTGGTTTGCGTAGAACATACTTAAAGATCAGCTTTGATACCGTTCAACAATTAATGTCTGTAAAGAGTGATCTGGTGCATGTGGTTGAGAGGAACCAAGCAAAGATGGATGCTGCTGAAGCATTTGATAATGTATACAACAATAATAGGTAATGTTGTTGCGTAAGTTAGTAACTGTACGCATTTTTGTTGTCGATTCCTCATTTTCACTACATAATACATATCCACTCCCCTACCCCTCAATCCCTAAAAAAAAGAATGTTTTATTTTCAGTTTCTAAAAAATAAATAAAATAAAATCAACAATGTTTTCAGCTGTTTTTGACGTGCATACCATTATTTTTGCATCATTTGCAGCAAAGAAAGACTGCAAGATTATATAGATTATATCTTTGATCTTCGTGAATATGATGTTCCATACCATGTGCGGTTTGCAATTGATAATGGTAGGTTCATTTCTTGATGTACTTTGCAGTTCACTTCCAGCAAAATGGTCTTATCCACATCACAATCAAGATAATATGTTTTTTATATGATTATATTCTGCTTCATACTTCCAGATATTAGATGCGGACAGTGGTACGATGTCATTGTATCTGGTAGCAGTATATTGCTAGATAAGAGAACAGATCTTCTTCAACGTGCTGAAGTTCATGTCTGTGCGTTTGATATTGAGACAACCAAACTTCCTCTGAAATTTCCCGATGCTGAGTATGATCTGATAATGATGATATCATATATGATAGATGGACAAGGCTACTTGATCATTAATAAAGAGGTGATATAGATAATATAGCTTTTCTTCTTTCAATATTTGTTAGAACTTAGAACTAGGTTTTCTAGATTATTTATGTTCTTGATTTTTTTTGCTGCAAATTAATTTTATGCAGTGGTAAATCGTTTATTTGATCAAGTTAATTTCTTTTTCTGCCCATACGTTAGGGATATGTGGTATGAAATGCAGACTATTTTCTCAAAGAAGATGGAAATTAAGAGAAGATGGCCATTCATGATCAGCACAACATGGAAAAGACCGCAAGAAGTGCTATCTGTGGAAAATTATTAACTCCTATCTTATTCAAATGACCATCCCTTTTACCACTGATTCCTTTGAAACGGTTGACCAATTGACCTAGACATCAACTAAAAATATCAGGCTATAATTTCGAAATTGTATAATCCACTATACTTATATTATTCAATGTCATATCATGTCATATCTTATATATATTATGCCATGGCCTTATGTAACATACCACAACTTGTATTGGATATTTGGATTGTTATTCAATATGTTCCTTTCGTTTCAGAGGTGCTCTTTTCGCTAGTCATTGTAGGTCACGACAACAAGCCATAGCTGCCAAGGTTTTAGCTACCCACTTCCTGCTGTCAGAATTCTATATATTCCTAATATTTTCGATGTCTAAAATGGTTCTCCTTAATTTTGTAACATATCTCCATTATTTGTTTTGAACTGTTGGTTACCTTTCTCTCAAAATTCCAAATTAGTAGCCCACACTCTGAGTGATCTCCTATTTTTTCATTGTGCTCCTCTTTCAAATCCCTTAATTTTTCTGTAAGCTTTCAACCTGAATCCTTATTGCATTATGCATTTCCTTTAAAATTC